CAGCCGAAATAAATTAAGCTTTCTGAACAAAGAAGTAGAAACGGAGCAAGAGGTACAAGTTTCGGGGAGATCTCTGGGTTATCAAAATCAAGGAGCATATCAAGTCGAAATCAAGGAGAGCTATATTGTTTCGTGTGAGATTTTGAGGTGAAAAGTCAGCCAAGTTTCCAGGAGATCTCTGGGTTCTGATATTGGATTAAATCAGAAGGTCTATCAACTAGGTAGTCGATAGAGAGTGAAAAAGAGGGAGCTTTGATAAAGTCGAAGAACTGATCAAAGGGGTTAAGCGTTCTATAAATCTCGAGTACATCAAATCTAAATCATTAGCGAAACATTAGAGATCAGACACATTGAATCTCTTATCGTGGAATAGTCAATATTGAGATTCTTATCCTCTCAACACTGGAAACCATGTAAAAGTTTTTGGTGGATCAAGTGTGTGCTTGATTTGGAGTAAATCATCATCTATTCCACGGTCTCGGACGTGATCTCTGCAAGAAAATGTGTGTTTTGAGTATACTTCACGGCGTGGTTAATTACCACGGGTTCAGCCCGTGAAAAACACACAAACCATGAATTGTGCAAATGGACAGAAATCTCAGTGTATCTCGTGGGCAGTGTAATCTTCATGGTCTTCAAATAAGGAAAATCACAAACAAATCGTGAAGTGTGCACAAACCTTAGATTTTGACCAATTTTGACCCAATCGACTCTACCGTGCCCAAAACTCAAACACCAATTCACAGTAACCATGGACACGGTTGTCACGTAATGCTCTCATCTCGACTCAAACTCACACACAAAAAGATAAAGATAAGGAAAAGAAAACAAGCCTATGTTGGGTTACCTCCCAACAAGCGTTTGTTTATCGTCCTTAGCTAGACGTTGAAAGATTTCTTGCTTTATAACATGTTTATCGTCCTCGTTCAAAGTGAATGAGGTGAGCAAGGTCTTCAGGTCTTCCAACTTGCACTTCTTGGTGAAAAGCTCCTTGAGAAACTTTGCCTACTTTGGCATATGCGCCAAAGCCTCCAAGAATGGAACGGAGACATGGAGCTTCTTTAACATCTCGATGAACTTTCCAAAATCCGCCTCCAAACGGTACTAGTGAACTCTTGTGGGTAAAGAAAGGGGAGGCTTGTACTCATCCACAAAAGATGGCATTAGCAATGCCTTCTTAGCCTCATCGTTATTTGCCTCTTTAGGCTCTTATTCAATCACCGCTAGAGGGGCTTCATCTTCGTCTTCTTAAAATTTATCAACCTCTTTAGTTACCTTCCCACTTCTAATAAAAATGGCGTGCAACCCCTATTTTGAATCTTTGGGGTTTGCTACAGTTTGAGAAGCTAGAGCTCCATGAGGTCTCTCAGAGAGGAATTCAGAGAGATGGCCAATTTGGGTCTCCAAATTTGAAGACACTCTTGATGGCGTCTGAATCCTGCCTCAACCGAGGAAAACTTGCTTGTAGAAACTTTCATAAACTTTTCAATCTTCTCAAACTTTGGAGAACTCGAAATCACAAAGGTGGTCACTAGATCTTCGAGCTTGGAGATCTTGTCGGGTTGTTGTTGGTGATATCCTAGCCCACCTTGTGGTTGACATTGTTGTTTTCGGAAGTTTGTTGCTTGAAATTGAGGCCTTGGTTGAGGAAATAGGGGTGTTGGTTTGTATCTACCCATAGGCCCTTGAAAACCTGGTGGTCTCGGATTAGCCAGTTATGCCCATGAAAAGTTTGGATGGTTGCGCCACCCCGGGTTGTAGAAGTTGTTATAGGGGGTTGTTGTTTTTTTTTCCTCCTAGCATTGGCATGAAGTTAACTTGCTCCTTTGGGGTAATAGCCTCCTTCATAATTTGACATTCTTCCAAAAGGGCGGACCCACCTTTAAGTAGAGTTTGTCACCCGACACACCTTGGTCCGAAATTGTTATGAGAAACCCACATTTTTTCGATGTAAAAAATTCAAACACGGGACTTTCGACATACCTCCAATAATTATAACCGACACACCTTATTACATTACCAATTTTTTTTTTGTCATAATGTTATTAAAATATGCTAATATAGGAGGTATCAAACTACAAATTAGTTAGTTAGTTTGTTGGTTGTACAAGAGTAAACAATTAATTTACCGAGTATTCAGAAAGATAGCTATCACATTAGAGATAACCTCGATAATTTGAATGAGAAATAAATTGATTAATACACTGGTTGAATCAAGTAGTTTAGATAGTGAATTCCATAATGTCTTTCCTCATAGTTTCTTCCATAGATTTTTCTTTAAGTTAATTTTCAACCTGATTTCTAGTTAGTTATTTCTTTCTAGGTTGACGCCTGTTACCACCCTTCAATTGTCAACGTCGAGCCGACAACATCCTCATTCTCATTCAAACGTCTACGTTGACGCATGTGGCCACCCTTCCAACTTCTATATATGAGTTTAATCGAGATCAATCTTTGGTATAATTTGAGTGACCAATTTATGAATAACTATTTAGTTGTGTATATAAAAAATATTTGATTTGCAACCTAATGGACAAATGTAATTAAGAAATCTTTCAGAATAAGAAAACTCATCGTGGGTCACCGTAAAAAATAATGAAATTGGTGATTTTAAATTATTTTTATTGACCGACACAACTACCATAAAATCCTGAGTCCGCCACTATTCTTCCAACACATGATTGGGACTTAAGCACCACTCACAAACCATCACTAGGCTCTTTCATTGACTTATATCCTTCATCAATACCTTAATCAATCCATCAATCTTTGGCTCAAGTGAATGGCTTGCCTCGGTAGCATGGAATCCTTTCTCACGAGTCCACCTTCCTCTCCTTGTCATGTACGAATCATACCCCTTCGATGACATTTATTCAAACAACTCGGTCATTTGTGGGGGTGTCGAGTTGAGCATGTCCCCTTGGCACATGGAATCGATAAGCATACTGTCTTCTTGGAAGAGACCATTGTAAAAGGTTCCAATCTTAAAATCCTCATCGAAACCTTGGCGAGGTCATTGAAGGAAAGGTCAATGTATCGCTCCTAAGCATGCATCTCTCAAGGTGAGTAATTTTTCTTCAAAACTCCGCTGTATTGGAATACCTGACTACCTTTGCATGAACTCTGTCAACAAATCATTCCAAGAGACAATTGAGAGAGGAGGTCGGTTGTTGAGCTAACTTTTAGCCTTGACACTTAGGGAGTATGGGAATAACCTCAACCTAAGTGCTTCTTGTGGCACTCCATTCATCTTCAAACCATCCGTTAACTCGTAGAACCATTGATATGTTCTCTGGGTTACTCATTTTGAAGTCCATGAAACTGGATGTTGCTTTGAATAATGATGTTGAGACCGGTCTTGATCTCTAAATTGTTGGTCACCACGGGTGGATGTCTTACGCTAAGTTCGATGCCCGCCGCCGATGGGGACATGTACTACCCCATGGTCCTCGCTTCATCCCCATCTTGTGCAACTTCGTTTGTCATATCTCCAATCACAAATTGCTCTTCAACTTCATCTTCAACTCATTCTTCAACTTCGGGTTGAGCCCGAACTACAACTCATCCTAAATCAATACAATATATTGTACACTTAATTGTTAAGCATCCATGTCATCCTTGATTTTCTACGTCACTTTTATTATTTTAAATTTTTAAATAAAAAATTATTCAAAATAAACGAACATATAAATAAGCGTTACTAAGATTCAAACACACAACCTTTAATGTTTAGATTTATTATAGTATAAAATTACTCACAAGTAAGACAAAACTATATTTGATTATAGTAATGACAAAACTAATTAGATAAACTTCATCGATTATATTAACTACTATAACAAGATTGAGACTATCTTATCATCAAACGTGTTTAATATGTTACTTCTATTATTTTTATCTTTTCACTTCATTAATAAAATTGACAATGAATCAAAATTTAGATGAATATAGAGTGGATCTAATGATATAAACATAAATTTTATGATTTAAAATAAATTACATCAATAAAAATGATCAACTAATTCAAAAATAATTTAATTATAATTTTAAATAATTAATAATTATAAAAATAACACAGCCAACGGTCGAAAACAAAACTAGTAATATATAGTAGACTTTTGTCTCTTTTTTTTGTCCATTTCAATTTTTTTTGCTTTTTTTAAATTTAGATAAGGGTAAATTTGTAATTCAAAATAGGGATTTTATATTGAAATATGATTCTACATGTATTGTTTAATTTAATGAAATTTCTATTAAAATAAAAAGGAAATTCACTTATGATTTGTTGACAATAACATGATGCTTACATAGAGATTGGAGGCTACCGGGTCGTTTGGAAGTTGTGATTTCGAATGGTATATTGAGTAAATTTATGTATTTGTGAGATTCAATCTTTTTTTTTTGCCCATATTAAATTAGAATACATGGAGTAATTTTTGGGGCTCCATTACAATCACTCGAAATTGAGGGATTATCAATCTCAACAAAAAGTAGAGATTTTTCACAATCACTCAAAGTTAAATTTGTGGCTTTACAACAAAAACATAATCTAAACCTCCAAACAAGGTATTAGCCCAATACATCAAATGATAGTATACTAGTTGACTCAATACATCAATTTGAAGAATCATAACTTCCAAACGACGTTTTGGCCATCCCATTAGAGTTAAATGAGGTTTATTGTCGTTAGGTCGACAATTATCTTTAATGATGATCGGAAATTATGAGTTTATAAATCACAAACGACAATAACTCTTGTAATTCAAACTACTTTTGTCATTACGATTAATTTGTGATAAAAATAACATTTTATAAGATTAATTTGTGGTAAAAATAACATTTTATAAAAGTTCAGGTGTTGGATTGAAATTTGCCATAAAAGTACTAAAATTCCCAATTACGAAGCCTTCTTCGTCTTCGAACAAAAACGATCTTCTGTTCTTTCTTCTCCCGCTCCTCCGTCCCAACCGGCCATGAACTTCCATCTCCGACGCCGGCCCCGCGCCGTTCACCTTTTTGCCTATAAATATGCTTTTGGCTTCCTCCCCAAGAATCCTTTCTACTTCTTGGGACCTTACCAAGAAAACGTTATTTTCACTGCTTTCTCACCTCCATCCCCAACGAACAATTCTCCCGTTTCTACTGCTCACATCCCCTCCCCTCCATCCAACAATCTTGCTTCTGATTTCCGACTCCCATGGTATGGCGAATGAGGAGAAGACGTTCCCCTGCAACGCCTGCCCCAAGCAATTTGAAAAACTTGGCGACATTGCCAAGCACCACTCGAGCACTCACCGCCAGTTGCCGTTTCTCTGCGGTAGATGTGGACAATGCTTCGTTTCGAAAGGTGAGATTGACAAGCATGCTGAAGAACCTCACTGTGGGAAATGTGGGAAGCATTTCCGCACCAAATCTGATCTTCTGCCGCACGTCAGGATTCCTCACCCGCAGCCTGCCCGCCGTCGCCAGCGCCGCCGTTAAGTTCTTCCCCTCCCAGAAGCAAACGTGCCCTAGTGAAGGTATGCTAACAAACCCTCTTGAGAGATAATTGCCTTGTGAAATTTCAACGCTTGTTCTAATTTTTCTGTATTCTTTCCCCTGCATTCTTTTCCTTTCCATAGATGAGGTGACCCCTGAGAATTTTGAGAAGATCAATATGCTTCTGGTCTGTAAGGATGGTGAGATAGTGAAGTTGAAAGATGAGATAAAGATCGTGTATGCTGACTGGAAGCTTAAGACGAAGGACTTGGAATCTAAGGTAGGGTTTGTCCTTTTCTTCTATTACTTCCATTTTCAAGTTCTTGCTAATTTTGGGTTCTGTTCATGAGTTTCAATCTTTTTCTGGTTTCGGCTTTCTCCCTTCTGTATGATTCCCTAACAATGGGGTTGTCTTTGTTCGACCCACATATTACTCCATCATCATGAACAACAAATTTTGCCCTCTTTTGCTTGTAACCTCCCCTTTAGTCCTTCTGTTTCTTACCTACCATAGAGGATCCCACCAGTGTGGGAAGCAGACTCCCTTATAGAAATTTTGTTCTTGATCCAAAGGAACCCATCTCCATTGTTGAAATACTGAGGAGGTTTTCCCTTCTGTCTTTAGCTAATTCTCATAGTCATATGCTCTGATTTAGAAAGAATGGTAAAAGTGGTCCTTGTTCTCTTCAGGGGAAGCAACTACAACTCTACAAGTAATTTCCCAAAAGAGAACCAAAATTTAGTTTGCATGGTTACTTCGAACACAATAGTTAGAGCTGTCACTACTACAGATTGTGCATTTCAGTTTTTAACTCAAGAGTTTCACTGCAGATTGTGCATTTCACTTTGAATCACGACGAGCCTGAGTTTCTTACTGAAAATGATGGTGAGGGAGGCGAATCACACCATAATTGGTTTAATGAGATTGTTAGAAGCAAAAACAGTGCAGTTGTAGTTGATGAACCTAGCTCCGCAGCCCACATCAGAGGTCCACCAGTAAAGAAAGAGCTTTCTCTTTTGACTAGGTGAGCATTTATATTATCCAGGGTGAGTATTGTGATCCCTTCTTCTTTTTTCCTTAGGCCTTGAATCTTTGTGTTGTAGGGAGGTGGTGATTGAGCAACCAAGAGTATGGGCTCAAATTTGTGTTCGAAGAATGTTAGATCAAGTGAACTCTTATGTCCTAAGGGTAATTGTTGCTTCACTGGCCTAACTTCATTCTGTTAAACATGAACGTTCTGTTTCATTCTTAGAGTATTTGGAACTTTGTTGTAACAGATGGGGGAGATAATAGACAAGAGTATTCAGGAGCTTCAGAACCAGTTAGCAGCAAGGCAGTCAGTTGGTGGGGAATTCAACAGTTGTGGGAAACCTCGAGCTTGAAGATTGTAGAGCCTCCATGTCCATCATAGTCCTGGTTATATTGTCAAACTGATGATAGTTCTGAATTGAGCGAGAGATAAGTGTACAGATGTTCCTCTTCTTCAGCTGTAGGTTAATTCAAGGGGATCAGTAGAGAGGCTATGTCTAGTTTGTAGAGAAGGCACGTTGGTGGCCATATATGTAGGTCTGGTCATAAAAACTACTTGTGAACAAAAAGTTAGGATACACTGACATCCTAAATTTTTTGCCTTTTGAGACTTGGGAGGCATACATCCCAAGTACGATAGGAATACTTAGTTGCAAAATGTGTACAGAGGGTATTATGCATATAAGACAACCTTTATGTTCCCTATACAGCAACTTCAACAGCCGGGAGCAGAGCACCAGGTGCCTCTCGGCCAACACAAGCCCTAACTTCCTATAGCCTTTCACTATAGATAGATGTCCACGCTTATAGATTATGTTACCACTTGGCAATATATTGAGGCTAAAATGCATGAACCGATTGATCTTGATGATGGAAGGGCGATAGCTGATTAACAGAGCATTCATATTTTGATTAAAAGGAAAAAGCCAAAATGAAAAGGTAGGTAGAAATAAGTTGCCAGTACAAATTATACCACTTCACCATACCCCGTAAACTAAAACTAATGAAAAAAAAAGGTTTCTGTTAAAATTTGAGTTTTGAAAAACCATGGATATATGATAGATTTGGTAAATTTGTGAATTTGAAATAAACGGGTCGTTTGTTCTGTGGATTTAAAAAATGAGAGTTTTGGTACAAACCGAAAAACCATGTATATATGATAAATTTGGTGACATTATGGATTTGAATAAGTCTATTGTTTGCTTGTTGGATTGGATTATGGATTTTGTTTGATTAGATTTGTGGGTGAAATACAAATTACCTTGTTACCCTTATCTAATTATATTTCTATATTATAATCCAAATTTCCATTAAAAACAAATCTTATATATACAAATAAATTTTACGCTCTACCACTACTCTGCAGACTAATAATTCAACTAAAAATATAGAAATGTATCACAATTTGGCACTAATTAACAATTCAAAAGCTTCCAACAAGTATTTCACATAAACGAACACGTATTAATATGCATCGAACAAGTATTCAAAGCCAACAAAGATGTATATAAAGCAGTGCAAGGTTTTCAAATTGATTTATGAAATACAATTGACCCTATTGCCCTTGTTTAAATAAAATATGACATTACAAACAAAATAAAAAATAAGTATACTTAAATACATCAACATTCAAATGTTTATAGTTGAATCCAATAAATACACATTCATATTTAAATAAAATACGACATTACAAACAAAATGATAAATTATCATATTTAAATAAAACACAACATTATAAACGCTTATAGTTGCATGCCCATTAAAATAAAATAGGAGGACAAATTTGTAATTAAAAAATGAGTGAGGGTAGAAGTGTAAACTACCATAATGAATTTTAATCCATCATCCAAAACCCATCTCTAGAGGTGGAACTTGCAAATCCGTCGGGCCAACGTATTTGGTCCCTCAAAGTCCATGGGCCCCATGTATTTGATTCCACTAATTTCGTTAAGCAAACATTGGACTTTGCTCAAAGTCCATGATGGATGCCCAAATCCATTCTTTATGAGATGTTTTATATGAGAGGGATGAGAGAGAAAGTTAGAGAGAGAGGGGGAGGGACTAGCGACATGAAGGTGAGCGATTCTGAGAGGGGACGAATCTGGGTTAGGAAGGGGACTATCTTTGCTTCTTCTGTCTCTTTTGACTGCAGGTCACAGGTATTGGGGGATGGCGCAGGTGGCTACACTCAGGAAGGCTATCGGCAGGTAACTCGGATGGGATCCAGGCTGGTTTCTCTATGGAAAGGCACCTTCAGAGGAAATATGGGGTACAAAATGCAGGTTGAAGAAGGTAATAGGCGCTGGTCGGTGATGTTTGATGAATCCCTGCTTGCATGGATTCAAGGAGTGCTACAGACGGCGGCGATGCGTCAGTGGTGCTTCCCCGATGAGTGTACAAAAATAAAGTGGTGAGCGTACCATTCATGTTGGTAAGAAAGTGACTAGATGGGGAGAGATGCTCCAAATATCTTAGCAGAATAGAAACAGGCGTATTTTCAAGATACTTATCCCAGCCCAGCTGCGGGACTCCGGCAGCGATGGGCAGGTGTTATATTCCTTCTAAAAGACTTCTACCTTGCGGAGCACCGAATGCGGATTAAGGAGATATCTAGTGGTTGTCAGGAGGAGATTGGTGCCATTGGAGTGAATCTCACAGGGTCAGGACCAGATTGCAGATCCTATGCGGAGGTCGTTAGGAGGGGGGAGGTCTTTATGGAGCTGGCAGATGTCGAGTGGTTAAAGAATCCGGTGGAGGCTTTATCCAAGTTGAGAAAGAAGGAGTTGAAGAACGACTTCAAGCGCTTAACAGGAGCCTGGTGCTCAATTTTCTTCCTTGCGCGGAGGATGTTTTCAGCAGTGATCTTGTTAGTGAATTCAGGAGATGGGCTAAACGGTTTTGGGCGATCGACAATAATTTTGGGTTGGAGGAATTAGAAGATGGCAGATGGTTACTGATGTGTCCAAGTTTGAGGGAATTTCTTAGAATTGAAGAGTTGAATCTGGGCAGGTTTAAGTCCTTTCAAATCAAGATTTCCCCTTGGGACGAGTTTGACACAGGTGAGAGTGGTGCTGACGTCGTCTGGATCATGGTTTTTGGGATTCCGTTTCATCTGAAAAGTGTGAATTTGATCAAATCGGTGGGAGAATTCTGCGATAAACTGATTAATGTTGACTGGAACTTGTGGAGTTCTTATTTTGTTAGAATAAGGGTGAGAAAGGATGGAGATATTCCGGGAGAAATCAGGTTAGTTTATGGGAATAACAGCTATACTGTGAAGGTTTGGGATCGTCGGGGAAGTCTTGCACGGCGGAGCAGCGGAAGAGGGCTGAAAAGCAGACGCATCGTGGGCCTCAACCCGGTTTTCAAAACTCTAAGGGATCGCTGCAACCGAGGGGGAAATCGGATCGTCGCTCGTTGGAAAGTAGCACCTCTATTTCGTCGAAGGATGGCGGCGTGCATGGCACTGTGGCGGTTGATAATAGTCCTAGGGGTCGTAGTCGGTCGGTTTCGGTTTAACCGAAAACCGAAAACCCAATTATCGGTTAAACCGAGCCACCACCTATAGCTGCCGACCACCGACCGAAGAGAGGTCACGGTTAGCCGGCCAACCGACCGGTCGGTTCCGGTTTTAGGCTCGGTTAGCTGGCCAACCGGAAAAAAAATACATTTTCCAAAAAAAAAATAAATAAATAAAAGAAAAAAAGCTCCACCACTCCTTCCTTATCCTCCCACCCACCCAAAAATCCCACGCCTTCTTCCTTCTCTCTCCTTCTTTCCTCCCACCCAAAAATCCCACGACTTCTTCCTTCTCTCTCCCCTCTTTCCTCCCAAAAAATTCCCCCAGACCCCTTCTTCCTTCCTCCCAAAAACTCTCACCAGAACCAAAAATCCCAAAAAGAAAAAGGGGACATGGAGGAGAAGCAAAGGCGGACGCCTCGAGGTAGTGTCGGGAGGCGAGCGGAGGGAGCGGCGGAGGAATCGGAGTGTTGGAGGAAGGAGAGGCAGGCGCGCGACTTTGGAGCAGAGCGGAGTATGCATGGCGTCGGCGATGGATGGGGAGGGAAAATTGGTGACTGGTGAGAGAGGTTGGTGGGGGGAGAAGGAGGAGGAAAGAGGTTGGTGGAGGTCGGCGATGGTTTTTTGTTTTATGAATGGAAGAGGAGGAGGAAGAGGAGGCGTCGGAGCGGAAGAAGAAGAAGAAGAAGAAGAAGAAGAAGAAGAAGAAGAAGAAGAAAGAATTATGGTAGGGTTAGGAATCTGTTCTTCTCCCTTTTGGGCTCTGATATCTTCAATTAGAAAGAATTGGGCTTTGGGCTGGACTTTGGGTAGCTGGCCGGTTATTTTCGGTTAGTCGGGTAACCGCGGTTAATTACCCTCGGTTACTCGGCTAGCCGAAAACCACATTTCTTTCACCGCCAACCAACCGAGGTAAATAACCGTCGGTTTTCAGTTAGCTAGTAACCGGCGGTTATCGGATAAACCGCCCGGTTAGCCGCTAACCGGAAACCAAACTGCCACCCCTAGATAATACCAATGCCGCCAGGTTAATTGAATTCCCTGCCAGGCATACGAAGAAGGTTTGGCTAAGGAAGTTTGGGCCTTTCAATCGGCTATTTACTTTAGCCATGGACTCGCCCAGAACTAAGCTGGGTCCTCATCTTCTGTCGGGTGAGCAGGCAAGGTTGTCGAAGTCTCCATGTTCAATCGGGCCCGGGGGTGTTTATTTTCTTCGCTAATTTGGTCGGCCCTCCTAAATGTCTGCAGGTAGAGGGCTTTTACATGAATAGTTGTCTTCGTATGGGCCGGCAATATCGCTACTCTCATCCATAACTAAAATTTTTGGGGCCTTCAACTTGAAGGCGAGGGCGGATCCCAGAGGCAGCAGCCTCGTTTGTGGTATTGACAGGGCATCCCCTGCCCCTCAATCGGAGTGCTTCCAGTCACCGCCGTCTTCTCCGGGTCTCTGTCTCCCCACTCTTTGTCTTGCTCCTCCGTTGATCAACTCTTCCCGGTGGCGACTACACCTGTCTTGGACCTGATCGCGGAACTCCCCTCTCCTTTCTGCTTCTCTGGTACTCAACCTCAGGTGTGGCAATCTGACTCTTTCCCATTCGATTTGGATACTCTGGAATCAGCTAGCATGGAAGTGGGCTCGATGTTTCTCCTGGAGGATGAGGGTGGAAGGGAGCATGTGGAGAGAGTGATTAGATTTACGGCTAAAACATTTCATCAAAGGAAAGTTCGGCCGGTTAGATCCAAGCTAGAAATGGAAGAATGGCAGTTAGGGCCGATTGCACCGCCCCCGACCGAGTCCCGTCGGAGCAAGACAAGAGGGGGTCACAATTTTGATTAATCTTTGCACATGGAATTGTCAGTCTTAGTATGGAATGTTCAGGGCTGGGGGATCGAAACAAAAGAGACAGGGTGAAGCGGCTCATTGGCTTGCGGAAACCAATAATTATCGGGCTGATTGAAACGAAATGGGAAGCTTGTGATTACTCCTTGATTCGCAGTATAGGAGAAACTGTGGAGCATGGGTGGGTAGTTAAGAACTCTTCAGGTAGCTCGGGAGGGATTGTGGTCTTATGGGATAAGTTGGTTTTCTCCTGTATTTCTATGAGTGTTGGCAGATATCTGGTAACCGTCAAGCTCCAAGAGGTGGTTTCTTAAAAAAGTGTGGATTCTGGT